CCAATCACTTTGAAAGGATGTTGGAAGCATCGTTTACCTGGGGACAGCCAGGGAGGATTTCTCACCAGTCCCGGCGGGTCCAGGAGGGTCAAAGGCTCCGGCCAGTGAGGGAGGAAAAGGGCGAATCCTGAGCCCCTCCACACCCCGAGCCCATTCCATTTCAGGGATGTATGCAGAGGCCACGTCTGAGTTAAGTTTAGAGCCCGGGACACAATCACCTGACTTTGTTGCCCCTGGCAGCGGCGACTCGTTCCTGTGAGAAGTGACAAAAGGCTTACTGGCTTGACAGGCCTTTGTCGAGTGCCTGGTATCTGTCACATGTCCTGCCTCTGTGCTCCTGGCCCCGCCCTTGCTGAAGGAGCTGAGGGTCCAAGATGGCAAGGACATAATAAGGCTTGACGGAGAAAAGGTTTTCTGGCTCAATTTAACCAGAAAACAAAGTCCAGCTTGTCTCTACCTGCTTCCTCCAGATCTGAAGAACGAGGTCAATCTCGGTCACGGCTGGAGTTTCAGCACTTTGGACAGCGGCTGTCCTGTAGCGGATGCTCTATTGATGGAGGGATTGACTTGAGGGGAGGGGGGTGAGGGAGGGGGGTCCAGGTGAGTTGGGACTCCGTCCTTGCTGGACAGGGGGTGGGCTAATGTGCTGCTGGCCTCTCTTCTCCCCCAGGCAACAGTGCGTTCAAGTCGCCCGATGCATTCAAAGTGTCCCTCCCCCTCCGCACAAACTACCTGTACGGCAAGGTCAAGAAGACGCTGCCCGAACTGTACGCCTTCACCATCTGCCTGTGGCTGCGCTCCAGCGCCTCGCCGGGCATCGGCACCCCGTTCTCCTATGCGGTGCCTGGGCAGGCCAACGAGATTGTGCTGATCGAGTGGGGCAACAACCCCATCGAGCTGCTCATCAACGACAAGGTGAGGCCGCTCGGAGGCCACCTTCCTCGTCATGGTGGCAACAGAGGCCGGGAAGTCGCAGGGGCTCCGGCAGCGGGCTGCGGGCTGTTCTCCTCCTGGTGGGGACCGCTCTGCCCTGACTCAGTCCTGCTCTGGACAGCTGATGAGTCGGGGGGCAGGGTCCAGGCCAGAGGTCAGGGAGGCCCGGAATGAGCTGGGACGCCTGCATGCCAGCCTGAATTGTCACGGGCCCTGAGGCCTGTCCATGAGGGTGTTTCCCGGGCTGCACTGCTTAGAGGAGGGTGTGTGTGTGTGTGTGAGTGATGGTTCTCATGAGCATATCTTTTTGTTGGGTGGTGGTGGTGGTATTGAGATATAATTTACACGCAGTAACATTTACACTTTTTACTGAGTTGACCGGCTTTGACAAATGCAGTCAGTTGCACATCCATTACTGCAATTAGAACCGAGGGTGTCATCACCTCCTGGATTTCCTCATTTCCCTGGTGGTCAGCTCCTCTTTCTACCCCAGCCCATGGCAACGGCTGATCTGGTCCTCATCCCTACAGTCTTGCCTTTCCCAGAGCAAATGTCCCCTTTTAATAGACGGGCTGGTTTTCAGGAGTGTGGTCCCCCCAAGAGACAAGCTCTGGGCGTCTGCGGGACCCTCCGGCAGCCCCACTCCGACATTCATTCTGCAGTCAGACCCCACGTGGCCAGAGATGCGTCCTCACAGCCCCCTTGCTGGAGCTGAGCATTGGGACGGCTGCCTGAGCCGGAGTGGCTCCACCTGGCCCCTCACTCTGTCTGTGCTGAGCCACCTTGGGTGGAGCTTGCTTCAGTGGAAAACGCGGTGTAATCCACCTGTGGGGCTCCTCCCAGCAGTGGCTGTGCCTCTGAGCCCCTGGAGCTGGGAGCCAGGACTAAGTGTTTTAAATGACTCCTTGGACACCGCCCTGAGGGCCAAGAGCCTTGTTTTCCTCTCCAGTTAGACACCCTGTAAACAGCCAGGTGCTGGGAGGGAGGGCCTGGGGTTGCTAGGACACCAGCAGTAACAACCAGCTCTGCAGAGGAGCAGGTCTGCAGAGCCCTCCCAGGGCGGGAGTGGATGGATGCGGTGGGCATGCCCCACCCCCACACTCACATGTAGTTGTGGGCCTTTGTCCTCTGCACGGCAGGGCACCCACACACAGTCCTGAGGGACGCTGGGACCTCGCCTGTGAGTGCAGGTGCCTGGTCTGGCTCTTGTCCAGAGAAGCTTGCCCAGTGTGCCCTCGCTGCCCTGTGTCTTCTCCAGCCCCGGGTGTTCGAGGCCAGCATGGGGCGCCGTCTGTCACATCTGCTTGTTCAGCTCAGTGTCCTGGCCCCTCAGCCAAGCCAGGACCAAGAGCGTCCAGTTGAAAGCAGGGCTGCCCTGGGGCCCGGGACTTGGGCCCCTTTCTCTTGAGTGTCTGCTGGCACGTGGTGTTTCCAGCCCGAAGGTCTCTCTGAGGTGGGCGGGTCAGGCATGTCACCCGCAGAGCAGAGAAGGGGAGGCCAGGAGGGACCCCACGTGAGGGGAACAGCAGTGGCCCCGTTGCCCCGTCCCCCCAGCTCAGTCGTCTGGGGGACCCGCAGGGCCTCACCGGCACGTTGCCCCCCGCAGGTTGCACAGCTGCCCCTGTTTGTCAGCGATGGCAAGTGGCACCACATCTGTGTCACCTGGACCACGCGGGACGGCATGTGGGAGGCCTTCCAGGACGGGGAGAAGCTCGGCACCGGGGAGAACCTGGCCCCCTGGCACCCCATCAAGCCGGGGGGCGTGCTGATCCTCGGGCAGGAGCAGGTGGGTACAGGGACTGAAAGACGGGAGCGCGCGGGCCAGACGAGCAGCACAAGGCCCGGCCTGCAGGCTGCCCCTCGCCCCGCCCAGCTGTCTGCCTGCTGGAGGGGAGCCTGGGGGCACAGCAGCTGCCTGGAGGGGCGAGGCTCCCCCCCCACACCCCAGCTCTGCTCACACCATCTTGTTGTCTGGGGGGTGGAGGGGGGACCAGGTTGGGGTGGTGGTTCAGACAGTTTCCAGAATGGAGTGCTCCGGGGTCACAGGTTGGCACCTGGTCTTGGGCAGATGAGCGTTGACTTCAAAGCTGAGCTGGAGGCTGATGGAGAGGGAGGGAGCAGGCGCCAAGGGCCCAGGCCCTGCTCTCCTGCCTGTCACCTCTCCCTGGGGAGGGGCTGGAGCTGCGAGACCAGGTCTAGTCCTGGCTTTGGGACTTTGCCCAAGTGTCTCCCCATGTAAACTGGGTGGTGGAGTAAAGATATTTCCCCGGCCAGAGTTGGGGAGTTAGGCAAATGCCCCAGTCCCCCCTCTCCCCCCCCCCCACACCAGCTCTGTCTCTCTCCAAGCTGGCATCCTCTCCCCAAAGCCAACCCGCTCCCATGCCGGGGGGGGGGGGGGGTTAGGCTTTGAGCAGCTCTGACGTGGTTCTGTCCCCTCCACAGGACACCATTGGGGGCAGGTTTTGAGCCACTCAGGCGTTTGTGGGGGAGCTCAGCCAGTTCAACATCTGGGACCGCGTCCTCCGTGCCCAGGAAATAGTCAACATCGCCAACTGCTCCACCAACATGCCGGGCAACGTCATCCCCTGGGTGGACAACAACGTCGACGTGTTTGGAGGGGCCTCCAAGTGGCCGGCGGAGACCTGTGAGGAGCGCCTGCTGGACTTGTAGCCGCCTCTCCCGGTCGGGGGGCGGGGCTCTGCTGACGCCCCGGTTAAACTGTCTGCACCTCCTCCTGAATGAACGGCCTGGGGTCCCCGGGGCCTGAGGCTCTGTGGCAGCACCTGTCTCCGCTTAGCTGTTCCGTACCCAGATTTCGTTGTTTTGGGGGTAGGGCCAGAGTCCCTGGGGAAAGCCCTGAGCCGCCGGGGGGCCACGATCTGACTTCCTCCTCCGGGGGAGTATGGGCCCTCAGGTGCTGTTCGGAACCCCTGTACATGCTAGTGCACCCCAGCCTGCCCCCCCTCATCCTTGGTGTCTCGTGCGCGCCTCCTGTCCGTCCCCTTCACAGCCTGTGCAGCCGTCCCACTGGAGTGGCCGTGTCCTTGGTGTGTTGAGTACGTCCTGCTGCCCATGAGCACGTAGCAAGCAGCCCCCACCCCACCTCCCCCCGCAGTTCTCTAGGCCACACACCAGGAGGGCAGGCAGCCAGACGTGCCCTGCCCCCTCCAAGGTAGAGGGGTGTCTATGGCTCCAGAGAGGGAGCTGGGAGGCTGCTCAGAAGGGAGAAGGTCGGTGGTGGCAGCGTCTCGTCCCCTCCGTGGCCTCTCCCTCAGATCGATGCTTTGTCACCGAGTCTGGCTTTCGAAGGCCTGTCGTCTCCACTGGTGCCAAAGGTTCCGCTGCAGCTTTCCCAGCCCCTCGGTGTGCTCTGGGGAATTGATTCTTCCCAACGGAAGAGGCCAGCCATTAGCTGGCGCCCATGTGTGGTGTCTCCCTCGCGGTGAGCGGTTGGCGAGTTTTAACCCATCTGACTGTCTCCAGTGTTTCCCCCGGAACTTCTTCAGGAAGTGGGCGTCACCTGGCTGGTCATGTGCTTAGTGATGCCAGGCTGCCGAATTGGTTGGACGGAGGGAGTAGTGGTTACTTTAAAGACACAGCGATGGCCTGGGGAAGTTTATAAAGCTAAATATTATATATTTATTTTTCATACATGTTTGAAGTGCAGATCTGTGGAGATTCCATTTGTAGGACCGCGCTGACGTGCCCATCCTGACCTTGTGTGGATGTTCTCTGTGGCCAGCACACAACGACCGTGGAGTTGTGATTAAAGTACACAGGACGAGGCCTCGGCGTCGGCTTTCTTTGTGTCCGGGGTTGAGGGCAGGGAGGGATGAGGCTCTGCATCACTCCCCCCAGGTAGCATGAGGGCCACCCTGCTTGGTCTGGGCCTGGCGGCCGTGGGCACGCCTGGGGCCGGCGTCTGGTGGGCCCAGGGAGCTGAGGGTGCTTGCAGGAGGGTGTGGTGCCCTTCCCTCCTCAACCCCAGGCCTAGGCGGTGGATGTCCCACAGGCTCTGCCCAGCCTCCCTGTCCCCAGCCCAGCCCTGTCCTCCCAACCAGGAATCCAGTTCAGCTCCCCACCCCTCGGCTCCCCTCCCCAGGCTTGACCCCTGTTCGGCCCGCTCTGTGGTGCTCTGCCATCATCCCCTTCCATCCTCCCAGCAGTAATCCCAGTTCCCAGGTGAACACGGGAACAGTGAGGCAGGGATGTGGGTGTCGTGCGGCTTGATCAGGAGGCTGGTCAAGGCCAGGCTTGTGCATGTTTGGTTCCGTGACCTTGGCCTTGACAGGCGGCTGGCTTCCCATTGTTTTCTCAAGGAAGCGCAAGGCAAATTTACCAGGTGGTTCCACTTCTCTCTACAAAGCAGCCGCGCTCTCTGTAGTTGCCAGCGCAAATATTCACGGGCACCTCTGAAAGCCCTGTTCAAGCAGAAGTAAGACACTGAAGATTGCCTCTCGCGGGGAGATTGACATTTCCTTGTCACTCATTATCCGACACAAGAGAACATGTCCCAGGGGAAAGCTGCACCAGGCCTTGGCTTTCTGTGGCTAAGGGGGAGTGGGGGGTAGGAGGGGTGTTGGGGGGAGAGGGTGCCAATCACACAGGGTCTGTATCATGGCTTAACACTCAGGTCTGGCAAGAAATACATCTATTTTCTTCAAAGACTATTTATTGGGAGACATCACATATACAGCAGACTGGGTGTGACCCTAAACACAGTTTTAAAATAATCATCCATGAAGATTTGTGTAGCGACCACTCGGTTTTAGAAATATTTGTTCAGTGCCTGCTGTGTGCCAGGTACTCTTGTAGGTACTTTGTTGATATCAATGAACAGAAGGAAAGAAAGGTCCTGCCCTTGTGTATCAAACATTCCGGACGTTGGCAATAACTACTGGACACATGAGTAAGAAAATTATATGGATTTGCTGGAAGTGGGTAAGGGCTGTGGGGAAGGACATGCAGGGCAGAACAAGGAGGAATAGACGTGTGGTTGTGGGGATGGGTTTGCAACTTAAAGGAGTGGCCTTATCGAGAGAAGGACGCCTGAGCAGACTTGAAGGAGGTGAGAGAACTGGCCACTCGGACCTTTACTACATAATTAAACCACACGGGTTCTTCTGTGACTTGCTCTTTTCAACTCAACATTGTGTTTCTGAGATTTCTCCAGGCTGACGTGCATAGCTGCGATTTATTAATTTTCATGCTATGTAGTCTTTTTAAACGCACATTTATCTAAACACAGATTTACCTGCTGATAAGCTTTTGGATGGTGTGTATCTCCCAGTACAATCTGTGAGAATTTTCTCTACGGCCGGTGCCCGGGATGCAATGGCTGGGCTGACAGATATGAGCATCTTCACATTTAACCAGGTTTTACGGGTTGAATTGCGGCTCCCCTCACAGATGTGGAAGCCCTCACCCCCAGCATCCGTGAATGTGAATTTATCTGGAAGTAGGGTCTTTGCAGATGATCAGGTTGAGATGGGGTCATGAAGTTGTGCCCTAGTCCAATATGACTGGTGTCCTTATAAAAGGGGGAAATCCAGACAGAGACAACCAAGGATGGAAGGAAGACAATGTGAAGACGCAGAGAATGCCATCGACAAGCCAAGGAACAACACCTGAGCTACCAGAAGCGAGGAGGGAGGCCCGGAGCGGGTCCTTCCTTCCCTCAGAGCCCTCAGAAGGAATCCTGGCCTTGGGAACTGTGAACCAATAAATCATTACTATTGAACCCCCGCCCCCCCGCCACCTCCGTGGATGGCACTTTGTTGCAACAACCCTAGCAAACTAATACACCAAATTGTTTTCCTAAAAGGTTGTATCTATTTGCGTTTCTACCAGCAATAGAGTCCCCATTGCTCCACATCCTCACCAGTGCTTAATGGATTCAGACTTGTAAATTTTTTTTGCTAATCTGGCGGGAATAACATAATATTTAATTTGCTTTTCATTTGCACTTCCCTGTTTGCTAAGGCAGCTGAGCATCTTTTCATATGTTTATGCAAATCTGCATTTCTTCTTCCAAGAAATAACTGTTTACATACTTTACCCTTCCTTAGGTTATTTTTGCCTTTTTCTTATTGACTAGTAGGACTTCTTTGGGTTCTAGAAACGTATTCTTTGACAGTTATATGTGTTGCAAATATCTCCTTCCCGTCCATGGCTTGTCTCCTTGCAGTCTTTGTTTCAAGTTTCTTGAAGCTTCGTTACTAGGTGCATAAACATTCCAGATTGTTACATCGTCTTGATGAACTGACACTTTTTTATGAAAAATCCTCTTTACCTTTGGTAATATTCTTTGCCCTGAAACCTACTTTGTCTGATATTAGTATGACCGCTCCAGCTTTATTTTGATTAGTATTAGTCAGTTGGGTGTTGCTCTTTATGCAATCTGACTTTCACTTGGGGAATTTAGACCATTTACATTTATTGTGGCTGTTTTTACGATTAGGTTTCAGCCTATCAACTTGCTATTTGTTTTGCATTTGTCCATCTTTTTTGTTCCTTTTTTCCTCTTTTTGTCTTCTTTTGGGTTAACTGTTTTTGTATGATTTCATTTTTTAAAAATATATTTTATTGATTTTTTTACAGAGAGGAAGGGAGAGGGATAGAGAGCCAGAAACATCGATGAGAGAGAAACATCGACCAGCTGCCTCCTGCACACCCCCCACTGGGGATGTGCCCGCAACCAAGGCACATGCCCTTGACTGGAATCGAACCCAGGACCCTTCAGTCTACAGGCCGACGCTCTATCCACTGAGCCAAACCGGTCAGGGCTGTATGATTTCATTTTTATCTCCTTTTTTTGGCTTATTAACTGTAACTATTTTGTTAAATTAAACCATGAAAGGTTATACTACTTCACATAAGGTGCAAGAATCTTAGAACCCTCTATGCTTCCACTCTCCCTTGATGTATTTTTGTCGTACATTTTACTTTTACACGTTATGAATACCACACTACATCATTATTTTTGTTTAAAATAGTGGAATGACTGAGCTGCCTGCCGGGAGCAAGACAATGGGCCTGACAGGGGAAGTGGGGGTGGCACATACTGAATGAGGCCCTTGCCTGTTGTGAGCTGGCAGGCTGTGGCTGGGAGGACCCTGGAGACATGGCCATTCCCCTGGAGATCGGCCATGATCAGCACCTTCTCTGCAGAAAGCTGTCCCCCAGGACCAGGGCCAGCTCAGTTGCTGTGGACACAACCGTCATTCACCCCAGGGCAGCAAGTCAGCTGGTTCCCAAGCTGCCCGTTAGGAGTGGGGCCTCCGGAAGAGCAGAGGAGGCCAGTGTGGCCTGGCCGAGTTGGTAACCAGAAGACTCACCATGCCCTGGACAGGCAGGCAGGTCTGTGCTGTGCGTGGGGAGCTCAGGTATCCCCTCCCCGTAGGCAGCAGAGTCCTAGCTGCCGTCAGGCCCGGGGAGAGGAGCCTCCACGCGGGAACCTCTCCTCACAGCCCCCTCCTGTTCTATTTCAGGAGTTTCCATTGCAAGAAATAGGAAAACAGAATAAATAAATAAATGTGTGCTTCCAGCAGAGAGAGGCGGTCGAGTGGAGACTGCTGAGAGGAGACTTTCAGAATAGCGTCCCCTGAGAACGTCGACTCACTCCTGGACGGGGGAGGACAGGCGGATGCTGAGACCACCCCCCGTTTACATGCGGGGAAATGGAGGCCCCAGAGTTCTGATAAAGCCAAGACTCAACCCCAGGCTTCTGAGCA